GAGTTCTGGATTAAGTCCTTTTGCCTCTGGAGCCATAGCCATGCCATAGAATCGCTTGTGGGGGGCAACTCGTGACCTCGGTAGGGCATGAAGAATGAGCCAGTACAGCCCCTTTTCCCATGAGACTGCAGTTGCCCCATCACCGCCAGCTCATACCTGGCTTTCCAATAAGCTCTGAGGCGGCAGTCACCTTGTATGCGGTCCAGATGCATTTCTGCCAAAAGCTGCTGGATTTCGAGATTTGTTTCTGAGTCTCTGGGATGTTGGCCATTAATCAGCTTGATCAAGCACCACAGAGACTGTGTGTAGGCGGTGACTCAGGGTCTCATTGGGGTGGGGAGAAAAGGGCCGGTTCTACCCCCATCTGGTGAGGCCCCGTGTGTCTCGTCACTGCAGGCCCAAACCTGACTGTCCAGTGGCCTCTGGAGGATGGTGGTCACCGGGCCGCCAGGGGGAAGATGCCAAAGCACGAAACCTATTCCCACCTGGAGTGGCCCAACGCCAGTAACCTATTGCAGGAACAGGACGCATTTCTGCCAAAAGCCTTTGGGTTCCGAGATTCGTTTCTGAGTCTCTGGGATCATGGCCATTAAACAGTTCAATCAGGAACCAGAGAGGCCATGCCTCCAATTATATAGCTGAGTCAGAGGTGGTTTGTGGATGTGTCTCCCACATACCTAACTTTTGGCCATTTACTTTCCTGGTAAACTTTGCCCCAAGTTTTTGGGGTCTGGCCAAAGGCACAGCAGCAATTTTGGGGTATCTGAAAGTCTGACAGTGCCATCAGACTGCTAATGCACTTGCCTCACAGGTACAGATTGACCTGCTGGTGGCACCATACCTCCCATGGCCTGCATCTTTTAGAGCCTAATGAACAGCCAGGTATGTGACTGCATAGACGAGGCACGTGGGGCTTCATGTGGGGTGTGGGGTGGAATCGGCCCTGCTCCCCGCCATGAGAATACTCCGGGTTGCCACCCTCAAAAGCCTCCTCCAGCTTCTGACCGACCATGAACCCAGAGGCACACATACTAATCTTGGAACCCAGGGGCTTCTGACAGTAATCCCTCTAGGTTGATTACTAAAATATTAGAAATCAAAATTCGCATGACCGCTATTTGGCCCACAACATCATATGCTCTTCATAATCAACATTAGAAAACAAATTTTCTAATGATGTCTTTGTGGTGGGCTGGAGCGATAGTACAGCGGGTAGGGCATTTGCCTTGCACGCAGCCAACATGGCCGACCCGAGTTTGATTCCTCTGCCCCTTTCGGAGAGCCTGGCAAGCTACAGAGAGTATCTCACCTGCACAGCAAAGCCTGGCAAGCTCCCCATGACGTATTCTATATGCCAAACACAGTAACAATTGTCACAATGGAGACGTTACTGGGCCCGCTCGAGCAAATCGATGAACAACGGAGGACAGTGACAGTGACAGTCTTTGTGGCAGGTCTGAATGTTGGGGAAAATTCCAAATAACAATGGTGGTTTTTTTTGTCATAATATTGAATGTGATCAAAACAGAGAGAAAGAGAGTAAAGTAGAAATCTGCCACACAGGTGGGGGGTGGTTGGGAGGTGGGGTATACTGGGGTTCTTGGTGGTGGAAAATGTGCACTGGTGAAGGGACAGGTGTTTGATCATTGCATGACTGACTGAGACTTGAACTGAAAGGCTTTGTGACTGTTCTCACGGTGATTCAACAAATAAATAAAAAATACATAAAAATATTGTAAATGAAAATCCCTATAGAATAAAATAAAAATTTAAGGAAAACCATAAAACAACAGGATCCTGACAAGTGGTTTCTCAGACATATACATTATTGTTTAGAACAGACAGTGGACATGGCAGAAATAGATGGAAGTCAGAAGACCAAGAACTAGTATCTATTTAGCAGACTGCCATATAAAAATCATATAAATATATGTGTATCATATGTGTGTGAATATATATGTGCATATATACTTACATATATATATGTTTATATATTTGGGAGGGCACACCCAGAGGTGCTCAGGGCTTACTTCTGGTAGTATGCTTAGGAATCACTCTTGGGAACGCTCAGAGGACCATAAGGGGTTCCAGAGATCAAACCTGTATTGGGTATGTGCAAGGCAAGCCCCCTCCCTGTTGTACCATCACTCCAGCTCTCTACATATCTATTAATATCAACATATCTCAGAATGATCCCATAAGATGAATTTTACTGTAAGGATATATGAATAAAGCCCAAGATAAATGCATTGGAAAGTCCAAAGGTCTATACAAAGAGAAGCAAGCCATCACTAAGTGGAAAGTGTTTATTTTATAGCCACCTCACATTTATGTGACCCTTACAATAAATACAAAGTGGAAAGATCTCTGCTTTAGAAATTCTAGCACTGTCTATTTTTGATGGGTGTGGGAGGGCACATCTGGTGGTGCTAAAGGGGACTATACTCCTGGGATAGAAGCAGAGTTGGCTGAAGCATGCAAAGAAAGTCTCACACCTGAATTGCAGCACTTTTTTTTGTAGTGGAGACTATCCCTTAATAATCATCTGAAGTTCCAAGTTTGGCTTGACATATGGTTACCAGACTACATTTCCTGCCTCCCTTCCAGTCATGAATGGCCAATGATCAAGGCCTAACTGCATGTTATATGCTCTAACAATGTGAGCTCTGGCTAGAAAGAGCCCTCAGAGATGCTCTCCTCTTTTTATCTGGCACATGGAAGCCTCCTGATGGCCTATATTGCTGGATCACCCTTCTCTACATGGTTGCACAAAAGGCCATCAGTTCTGGGTTGTTGGAGCCACTGTACTTTGGTCTCTTTGTTGGCAGCTTAGCTTGCCACCCTCACCCAGCCAGCCAAGTTCCAGCCCAAGTTTCTCAACAGCTGCTTGAAAAACTGGCTGGCTGACTTAAACTGCAGAATCTGGACACATAAGAGAGAAGGATATGCTGTCAGATTTGCCTACCACACAAAGGGATAATCAGCATCAAATAAATGAGTTTAATGTAAATGGCATCCTTGTTTTTTGAAAACAATATCTAAAGGATAAAAATGGAAAATAAATGTATATAATGTAAGTGTAGATTATCCAGAACTGTTTATACAACCAAAAGCAACATTCATCTTCCACTTAGATTCCAAGTAAATTAGTGATATTTAAAAGTAAAGTAAAAAAATTATAAGTAAAGATTAAAAATTCTGTAAAGATTAACTTGAAATGAATTCTTCCTTGTCCCCTTTTCCCCGGGGCCTCCTTTTTCTCTTTTATGGTGACAACTACATAACAGCATCTCGGTTGGGTTGGAGAGATAAGACAGTGGATAAGGTGGTCATCCTGCATACAGTTGACCTGGGTTCGATCCCTGGCATCCCATATGGTCCCCTGAGCAATGCCAGGAGTAATTCCTGAGTGCAGGGTGAAGAGTTACCTCTGAGCATTGCTAGATATGGCCCCCAAACAAACAAACAAACAAACCAACCAACCAAAACCAAAACCCATCAGCATGTGCAGCTTTGATAACTCTCAAGTGAGTTTTTCAAACCACAAATTGTAGTCTCTCATATTGGAAAGGAAAAAACAAGCCCGTAAATTAACTCCTTAACATAGCCAACACTGAGTTTAAGTTAGAGTTGAATTTGAAAAATTGAGTTCAGAAGCCCTACGACACAAAACTGATGAAATCACAAGCAGATTACTGCATGCATCAAGGAACACAAAGCTAGTGGGAAAATCTGCCATCCTTACCACGCTCAGCTTTCTCCACATATATGTGAAGCCGTCTCCCCTGGTAGTCCCAGAGAAACTTATAGTGTCATGACAGTGTATAACTGGGGACATCCCTATTATCTTAATGTGTGAGTTCTCTTTCATGAAGTTCAGGATTAAATCTTCTTTCTCCCACCAAGAAATTGAGCAGTGGTTGAAATACCAACAAAAACTAATTTCATAGCAGGGCAACATGTTGTTACCTCTACAACATTCTGATTGTGTGAATTTATTTAGGTAAGTCCACGAGACAAGAAACTTAAATAAAAATAACCTTATCCTCTTGATATATGGGATCCATGCTGGATTTCTAGTTACCCAGTTGGGCTGGCCAAACTCCTTCCCACCTTAGAATCATTGAATTTCTTTGCAATTTTCTTCCAAGAAAGTTTCTTACTATAGTTTCTCACTATAAATGAGGTCTCACTCCAAGTCTTCTCTTTCAATCTCTGCAAACTCTCCAAGACCATTTTTAACATAACACTGTGCTTTATTTTTGCCATTGCCTATATTATTCCCTAAAATAGCCTGGAAACTTAAGTACTAGTTTATTATCTATGTACCCTTCCAGGCACACATATGCTCCACCCAATTCTAAAACCAGAACACTTAGCACAGTGCTTCAAAAAATATTTGATTGATTTAATCAGGCCATGCTATCCCTCTTTTTTTTTCTACAATGGTATTCATGCCTTTAAAAACAATTTTGAAGATTCTCATTCATACATAATCCAGATGTAAGGTGGTTACAAACCCCAACGCTGGGAATTTAGCTACAGAAAACCAGGAAGAAATGATCAAAGATGCCGTCCCAAGAAATATTCATCAATTTTTCTCATACTTTCATATTGGCAGGCTGCAACCTGCTGTGATTTTCATTTTCTAATTGTCCCCATATACTATATGACCGAATGAGATAATCTAATAATGCTCTCAGTTGCTCAATTTGTTCGTCTTCTATCATTCTCTTTAATCTATAACTTTTTTTTTTGCTTTTTGGGTCACACCCGGCATTGCATAGGGGGTTACTTCTGGCTCATGCACTCAGGAATTACTCCTGGTGGTGCTTGGGGAGCCATTTGGGATTCTGGGAATCGAACCTGGGTCGGCCGCGTGCATGGCAAATGCCCTACCTGCTGTGCTATCACCCCAGCCCCTCAATCTATAGCTTTGCATGGGTGAGAAGACATTTGGGCCTTGGGTTTTTCCAGTCCAATCCCATCGATCTTGCTACCTGTCTGTGAGAGGCGTGATGACTAGTCGCGGACTGTTTCCTAGGTATTCGTAGAAGTACTGGAACTGGGCATCGCAGATATTAACGAGGCAATGCTTCTGAGAGTCCTCCCACCGGTGACGAAGCTGTGACAGCCAAGCAAAAGCCTGGGGACTGACCACCTAGAAATACCACATGATCATTACAGAGGATACTATGAACTGGTTGGGGAGGCAACTATTTGTCAGGTTTTATTTTATATGAATCTTACAAAAGATGCAGGAAGTAGGATAGCAGGCTTTGTATGCAGGAGAACTTGGTTTAATCCGTTGCACTGAATGGTCCCCACATGCACTGCTGGGAGTAACCTTTAAGCACTGAGCAGGGAGCAGCCCTGAGTACTGTTCAGTGTGGCTCTCCTCACCCCCATTCTCTCAAAGAGAAGTGTCCTTGCATCTACCACAACTTATTATTACATGGAGATGGCTGAATACTTGGTCAGGAAAAAAAATAGAGGAATCATCTTCATCTTAAGGATTTTACTATGAAACTCTATCAATTTGTTCAAGCAATCTTTTCCCTTTAATAAATCCCCCCTAGGGGGTTATCATCTTTGTAACTTTATAGTGATATCACTGATATCAGATCAAAAATACTATATTAAAATGGCACATATCTATACTTTTTTCTTGTTAGATGCAAATGCTATTAACAACTAAATATACTGTACAACCAGTCTTCACTCAGTACAGGTATTCCTTTCTTTTTTTGGGGGGGGGGTTGGGGGAGGTCTCACCCAGCGATGCTCAGGGATTACTCCTGGCTTTTCACTCAGGAATTACTCCTGGTGGTGCTGGGGGACCATATGAGATGCTGGGAATTGAACCTGGGTCAGCCGCGTGCAAGGCAAATGCCCAAACCGCTGTGCTATCGCTCCGGGCCCCAGATATTCCTTTCTTAAAAATTTAAATCATAGTATTTTGGGGTTGGTGTTCTTTTCTAGCCTACCCTGTATGATCCAGTCTTCTTTTTCAGTTTGTGGAAGATCATTCTAGACTTAAAAGAAAATAAATATGACCCTAGGAATTCTTGGGCATCAACTGACATACCAAAAATATTATCCACTAATTTGACAGTTATCTAAGTCTGACATTCATATTCATTATGATAAGGAAAAAGAAAAAGCCTCTATCTCTTTGTCACAAAAATAAAGAAAACATTTTAATCATAATTTATCTTACTGCAAGCAAATAACCAATCAGGTAAAGGCCAAATACTTGAAACCTCATCACAAAATTACCAAAGAAAGAATACATGTTCGTGGACTTTTGTAAGGAATCATTTTTATTTTTTTGTTTGGCTGTCCTCAGGCCTTACTTTGGCTCTGTGCCCAGAAATCCCTTCTGCCTGAGCTCAGGAAACTGTATGTGGTGCCAGGGATTGAACCTGGGTTGGCCACATGCAAGACAAGCTCTTTACCAACTGTGCTTATTTTAACCTGTTCAAGCCCTTATTTTTATTTTTTATGTGATATATATACAAAGGGGCTCAGGGCCCACTATTCACACAAATATTGCAACTTTATTCAGGTTCATTTTTTTAAGCTTTATTCCAGGGTAGCATATTATATATATATGTTATATATTTAAATATAAATTAGGATATTATATATGTTATATATTTTATGTATTATATATTATATGGGCTGGAGCAATAGCACAGTGGTAGGGCATTCGCCTTGCAAGTGGCCAACATGGTCGACCCGAGTTCGGTTCCTCCGCCCCTCTGGGAGAGTCTGGCAAGGTACCGAGAGTATCTTGCCCACATGGAAAACCCTGGCAAGCTACTCATGATGTATTTGATATGCCAAACACAGTAACAATTGTCACAATGAGACATTATTGGGCCCAATCGAGCAAATCGATGAACAACAGGAGGACAGTGACAGTGACAGTGATATATTATATATTATATAATTATAATTTGCTTGAGCGGGCCCAGTAACATCTTCATTTTTTTGAGGCTTGTTACTGTGTTTGGCATATTGAATATGTCACGGGTAGCTTGCCAAGCTTTGCTGCACAGACGAGATACTCTCGGTAACTTGCCGGGCTCTCTGAGAGGGGCAGAGGAATCAAACCCGGCTCGGCTGGGCTGACTGCATGCAAGGCAAATGCCCTACCACTGTGCTATCGCCCATAATTATAATATATAATATGAATAGCATAATATATAGTATATTATATATATATTGTATATATAATGGGCTGGAGCAATAGCACAGTGGGTAGGGCATCTGCCTTGCATGCAGCCAACATGGCCGACCCGAGTTCAATTCCTCCACTCCTCTCGGAGAGCCCGGCAAGCTACCGAGAGTATCTCACCTGCAGGGCAAAGCCTGGCAAGCTACCTGCGACATATTTGATATGCCAAACACAGTAACAAGTTTCACAATGTTACTGGGCCCGCTCAATCAAATCAATAAACAATGGGAGGATAGTGATAATGATATATATATATAATATAGCATTCATATATATATATATATATATATATAAATCAGCACTATAGGAAAGTAATCTCAGGTCCAATACATGTTAAAAACATACTCTACCCCTTGAGTCATCTTGTTGGGCCCAAGAATCAACTTTGGACTAATAATTTGAACATTATTGACTAATAGCACCAAACCTGTTTCAAGAAAAAAAACTTTTAAGTTCATGGCTTATACAAAGAAGCATTTGCTTACACTTTGTGAGAAAATTAAAATTTATTCTAATTTTAATAAAGAGAGAAAGAATAAGGAAATCAACAGCAAAATCTTCACAATGCACGAACACTAAAACCGTGAAAGAATTCATCTTGCTTTAGCACTACCACCCCTAGAAAGCAAAAGAGGTGGGGACCACACAAGCGACAGGTTTGAGCTATCAATGCAAAGCATCAGCAGAAAGGCACACTTTTTACATTTTAAGTAGATATATTTGTTAGAAAAAAAGAGATGAGAAAAATTCTTGTTTTACATGAAACACTGCCAGTCACTGGAACATGGTGTCTTTTTTTTTTTAAAGGGGAAAACAAAGATTATAAATGTGCTAGAAAGATTAGAAAATAATTTCTTTAATAATAATTTTATATATAATATACAGAGAGATAGTGCAAGGGTTAAGGTGCTTGCCTGACCCTCCTCTGATCTCTGGCATTGCATACAGTTCACTGGCCAACTCCAGGAGTGACCCCTGAGCACTACTCGCTATGGCCCCAAAGCAAATAAAAAATTTAGTTAGTTGGGAATGTAAAATTAAAGGACTCTTATTCTTGGAAAGGAAAATAATTGAAGATATACAGTGATAGTTTCAACTTCCTTGTGCTCTCTCTCTCTCTCTCTCTCTCTCTCTCTCTCTCTCTCTCACACACACACACACACACGCACGCACGCATGTGCACGCACACACACTCAATGTTATTATAACTACTGATTGGGTAAGTCACAGGGTGATTTTCACAGGCTGTAGACCAGGATAGTATTATGGAGAAGCCAGGAGATCAGGAATGAACACAGACTTCCTAGAGTTCTTCTGACCCCATTCTGCTTTCAATGATCTGGACAGAGACTCCTGGCTTGGAAAGACCCTTGGGGACATCACTTGGATAAGAATTCTTTTTGGATATAATTTATCACCTATCGCAACTGAAACACACCCCAGAAAGAACAACCAACCTCTGATGATTGAAATATACAAAATTACAATCAATGAGTTTCATAGAAGTACTCTCAACAATGAAAACTTTCAGGAAACAGCATAATACATGAGATTTCTATGAACTACTTGCCTTCTGAGAAATAAGCTTGGCCACCACGTCTCTGGCGTGCACATCTATGGTACAAATTGTCATGATCTTCTGTCTGTCTCCAGGGAGAAGTTCTCCCAGCAAAAGGGCAATCAGGGTGTTCAGCTGAGAAACCTAGGAGGAATATTTTAAAATAAGAACATAGAGTTACAAATATAGACCTCTAACTGTCCACTAGTCTTTGTACTTATTCACAGGCTTTGTGTTTATGAACTTATCTAAAGGATGTTCTCTCAGAAGATCCCTCAGCCAGCTCAGAAGTGGGTGAAGGAAGAGGACAAGTATGATTAACCTCTTTGGGACTCAGAGAAAACAGGTCAGAACCACTCAGATCTGAGAGCAATGACAACGTTGGCCAGGGGGAGACGCAAGATTTCTTGGCTGTCATGAAGTAACTCTCTATATCTAATGGTGATCTAGTTCACAACTTGGCAGGGAAAGAAATGACAACCCATCTTAAAAGGTCAAATTTTGTAAGCTCTGAATAAAGGCAACATGAGCTAAGGATGAAGTGCTTCATTATTTTACATAGGAACTAGTGATGATTACTGGAAAAAAAATGTTAACTGAAGACTCTCCGACTTAATTCTTCATTCATGTTAGAAATGCAGTTAAGGCACAACAAATGATTGGAGACCACAGCCCTGGAGAGCTGGTGTATAGAACGAAGCTGCCACTGGGGAGAGAGAGGAATTGGAGATTCGTGGTTGTGAAAAGATACAGCACATCAGGCAACCTCAATCAAAATGAAGAATAAAATGCTTCTATGTCTATTCTCACTTTAAATCCAACTGTTTCTTAGATCAATACTTTGCTAACCCACTTGTTTCTTCACAAAATGTCAGGGACTACAAAATGTTGTGCTGCAATATAGAGAGTAGCTCTGGTTTTGTAAAACAACATTTCAGTTTCAGTCCTGAGGGTGCACGAGTAGATCTGATACAAAATATTTATCATTGTTAACTGTGGTCAGAAAGATCTGGAAAACACTTCCAGGTGGGGTCATTTTGTTACCATGACTATTCATGCAAAATGTCACTTTACTCAGGTTTATTGAAAAAAATTTTAAAGACTGCTTTATTCCAGGGTAGCATATTATAAAAATAAAAAAAGATATCAGCTTCTTTCTTTTGTAATGCTGCAAAGGATAGTCAATTATGAACTGCGATCACTGGAGTGAGGTGGCAATGGAAGTCATGAGATGGATCCCCAAGGCTCTCAAACCTCTGTTGCCTACTGTAAAAAAAAAGGTCCTGTAGAGGGCAATTATTATATCCAGACATGACACATTGAAGACTCCCCTGAGACTGCTGGGAGGCTGACCTGTAGAAGGTGATAAAGTAAGAAGAAAGAAGGTGACAAGATGGTAACCCAGAATGTGCACGGCCGACACAGAGAATGAATGATGCACCTGACATACATGAAACACAGAGTTTGTGGCAGCTCATCTAATCTCCGAAACTTTTATTGAACTGATAAGTCAATCATCTTAATTTTGTAGGTGAGGAAAGGGAGTCACAGATGTATTAACCACATTTGCTGACAGTAAAGGCACAGAGTGACCAGAAATCCCACACAATGGAAACCTGGTGTAAAGAAGTGAAAATAGCTGTTTTAGAGCCAGAAGCAAGCCTTGACCAGGAGTAGCCTAAAAAAAATAAATAATAATAATAGTGATTAAAAGTATATGTTCCTTGGAACATGCAACAAAAGAGGCATCAGTGGTGTCAGTGTCCTTGTCAACACAAACTTGGCCATGAGCAATGATTCATTCGAATGTCTAACAACCTGAATCAGACGATTTACACTTGAAAAGATGTGGCTCACTGCAGGCAGTTTCTATCTTCGTTGTCTACGCACCAACATCCAATTATGATGAAGGAGAAATTGAGAAGTTCTACATGGAGCTGGAGAAGTTCTATAAAGAAGACCACACCTTCTACAAGGTCATTGTTGGTGATTTTAATGCCAAGATAGGACCAAGAAGATTAGCCGAAGACCTTCACATTGGGACCCATGGCCTAGAATGGAATGAACAGGGTGAGAGACCGTCTGAGTTCCTCATGTTGACCAAGACCATCCATGGTAACTCACAGTTCCAGAAGGCCGAATCTAAACGTTGGACACAGGAGTATCCTAGTAGAGGGTTCCACAATGAAACTGACCACATCATATTCAACTGACGGTTTTGCCTGACCCATGTCACTGTTGTCCCAAAATTCCAAACTGGATTGGACCACCATCTCTTTTGTGCAAAATTCTACTTCATGGAGTGGGGAGAAAGGACAGCAAACTTTGAGAACTCGCAGAACAACCACCAACTGGGAGCTCTTTGGCACTATTGCAACAACATGCGAAGATGCTGTCATTGACAACATTGATGAGGAATACAATTGACTGGTTCAGCACCTCCATGATTGTGTGAGGAACATAGAGAGAGAGAGAGCCACAAAAAGGTGCCTGTTTTCGAAAACTCTTGAGCTTATTCGCCAACATGACTTGGTGCAAAGCTCAGTCAACTGCCAGCGAACGTCCAAGCTTGAAAAGCAGTGCAAAGAAGCGATCAAGGAAGACCTCAAATAGAGAAGAGCAGCAGTGCTGACAGATGGGGCAGAAGCTGAGAAAAGCATTTGCAACGCCCACCTATCCTTCGCCAACTACAAGACCAAGATGACTGGCCTCTGACGTCCTGATGGATCTATCACATCTTCCAGAAGGGCAATGGAGAAGATTATCCATGACTTCGACTCGAATCTCTTCAATAGCCATGTCCACCCTCCCACATACCAAATTCTGCAGGATAGATATGTCATTTCCAACGTTCTCCCTTCTGAAATTCTACATGCATTTCATCGGTAAAGTGAATAGCACCCAGCCCAGACAAAGTCAGACCCGAACACCTGAAGAACCTGCTGTCAGTTCTTATCAATGCACTGGCTCCACTCTTCACACGCTACCTATCTGAATGCAAGGATCCATCCAGTGGAAAACCAGAAGGACTGTACTACTGTACAAGTAGGGAGACATCCACGACATTGGCAACTATTCCCCGAACTGCCTGCTGTCTGTCATCTACAAGCTGTTCACTTGAGTCATCCTGAATAGGATTAGCAGAACACTAGATGAAGGACAACCATGCGAGCAAGCCGGGTTCTGAAAAGGAGTCAGCATGATTGACCATATCCACATGATAACCAAACTCATTGAGGTTTCTCAGGAGTTCAAGATGCCACTCTGTCTAATGTTCATTAATTTAAAAAAGGCCTTTGATTTTGTTGAGATGGAAGCTGTTATTGAAGCCCTAGCCAAACAGGGCATTCAAACTCAATACATCAGGATCCTCCGTGAGCTGTATTATGGATTCACTACCAGGATCTCACCATTCTACAAGGAAGTGATCATCCATGTCAGAGAAGGGTTCTGCAGGGTGATACCATTTCACTGAAACTCTTCAGTGCCACCCTCGAGAATGTCATGCGACAACTGGAATGGGGAGGAATGGGAGTGAAGATTGACAGTTGGCAACTACACCATCTCCGCTTCGCTGATGACATCGTTCTAATAACACCAAACATTAGCCAAGCGGCACAAATGCTGGCCGACTTTAACCGTGAGTGTGGAAAGGTCGGACTACAGCTGAATCTCACCAAGACAATATGTATGAGAAAAGGTCTCGTTCCTGACATTCCATTCACTCTCAACAGAACGAACATCTCCAAGTGTAACAGTTACGTGTACCTAGGTCGAGAAGTCAACATGATGAATGACCTGGCACTTGAGTTGCGCAGGAGGAAGAGTGACTTGGAATGCTTTCAAGAGCATTGAAGAAATAGCTAAGAGGATGATGAACCTCTGACTCCAGGCACATCTCTTTGATTCCACTGTTCTTCCTGAATTAACATATGCCTTAGAGACCTGGGACCTATGAAAACTGGATGAGAACACTATTTGGGTCTCCCAAAGAGGAATCGAAAGACCTATGCTTGGAGTACCACGCTTCACTCAAGTGAGAGAAAGAATTCGGAGTTCTGACCTCCATTGACGATCAAGAATCAGGGACACTGTCTCGTTTGCCAAGGCATTGAAAATCAGATGGGCTGGACACGTAATGAAATTTGGAGATGACCACTGGACTAGAACCATTACTGACTGGATTCCACAGGATGTCAAAAGATCACATGGCCGCCCACCCTCAAGATGGTCAGACTTCTTCATCAAGACCCTGAACGATCAGTTTGAGGCTCTTAATGGTCCTAGAATGAGCAGACGCCATTGCACTACACTAGCATGTGACAGGGACGAATGGAGACGTTACTGGTGCCCGCTCAAGAAAATTGATGAGTAATGGAATGCCAAGTGATCAAGTGATCAATAATTAAAAATAAATGGGTAGGGTTCTTATCTCTCTTACTGAGAAATACAGCCTATAGCTAGCATAGTATTCAGCTTATGCTCAATAAACATTCATGTATGAATAAAGAAAGAAATGAACAAAGAAATGGCACGAATACTCTGTCTTTCATAGAAGAAGACAAATGTAGGTATTGTTCCAGGTCAATGAGGAATACAGACAATCACTGTTATTGCTAGAACAAATACAAGGCACTACAATAACACAAATAAATAATGCCTTGTAATCTACAAAAGATGTTCTGGAGGAAAATCATTATGTTAACTCCCGTAGAATGAGTCTGAGTTAGGTGTTGGGAATTTAGGAGTTGGTCATCCAGGAGACCGTGTCTGATCCCAGGAAACAAACCTTACAGCGATCCGGGAGACAGCAGCTGGCCTTGTCAGGCAACAGAACACAGTAAGAATGAGATGGAAGACCAGGTCCACAAGGATGCTGATGAGGGAAGCAAGAAGCATGAGGACTTGGTCAGATTACCAAGGGGGTCTCATTTCCACAGAAGGACACTGAGCTATTGCTTAAGGGTTTGGGGAGGTGGAGGTAATAACCAGACGTGTGAAAAAATTTCTATGGCAGTGCTAGAAAGAATGTATGGGAGGAAAACAAAACGGAAGGAAACCAGACAGCAGGATTTTACCACTGTTCAGGAAAGAGAGAAAGAGCATGACTTGGGCCAGAATACTTACAATGTGCCTGATGAAAG